TTAGCAGCATATAGTGGCAGTACATTGCTAGTGAAAGTATTAGAAGAATATAATATCAAATGTACATTAGATAATGATGATATGTCCCCAGTACATTATGCTGCCTGGTCAGGTTCTACTAGTGTATTAAGTTATATCATATCTCAGTATAATCTCAATGCTAATGATACTAACACTTTTGGTCGTACACCATTAGCCTACTCCTGCCATTCAGGTAGCATTAATTCTGTTAAATATCTTATTAAAAATCATAGTAATTGCATAATCACTTATAATGATGGTAATACGTGCCTTGATTATTCTTGTAATCACAATCACATTGATATCACTCAATATCTCATTGAGGTACAGCATTGTGATATTAATAAAACGGATAGTAAAGGACGCATGTCTGTACATTATGCTGCATGGAGTGGTAATTTAAATTTAGTTCAATATCTTATTACTGAACAAAGTTTGTCTCCTACTGCAGTTGATAAGGATGGTTGTACTGCTTTACATTATGCCTCACTGTCTCTTAACTTATCTCTTGTTAAAGAATTAATAACTACCTATCAGTTAGACCCTCATCAACCTGACAGTAATGGTAAGCTACCAATTCATTATGCTGCTGAATCTGGTGATATTTTACTACTGGAATTATATGTGAAGGATTACAAGTGTAGTCTGAGCCTAACAGATAAGAGTGGTTGGAATATATTTCATGCTTCATCATTAAGTGGCAGAGTTCTTTTTATCAAGCATATCACCAGTCAGTATCCTCAATACATTAGTTTATTACACTCTACTGACAGTAAGGGTAATATGCCATTACATTTTGCCTGTGAGAGTGGTAATATTCAATTGGTCAAATTTCTAATACATGACATGAAGTGTGATGTCACTATTACTAGTACTAATAATACTAGTATTGTCATTAATGCCGGTTACTCAGGTAACCTTGATCTAATAAAATTACTGATACAACAATACAAGCTTGAGCCTATCAATATTGATAACAATGGTTTCTCAGTATTACATGCAGCAGCACAGAATGGTCATACTCATATACTGGAATGGTACAGTCAGGAGTATAGTGTGGATATTACTAATCACACTGACAATAACAAGTACACACTAGCTCATTATGCTGCTTATAAAGGTAAGCTACATTGTCTACAGGAACTGATCAACAAGTATCAGTGTGATGTTAATGCCACTACTACTGATACAGGTAATACAGTTCTTCATAATGCATGTGCAGGAGGCCATGTTCCTGTTGTACTTTATCTCACTAGTCTTCCTCAGTGTAATGTAGCAGCTAAGACTTCTAATGGATTAACAGTTCTTCACATTACCTGTGAGTACAGCGACTCTCTTCCTATACTCAAACATCTGGTAGAGAATCATCAGTTAGATTTGTGTGCTGCACAGGATAAAGGAATGGCTCCTATTCATTATGCATGTAGTAAAGGAAGATTGAACTTGGTCCAGTACATTATAAAAAAAATACCATCATCACTTGAACTACCTAACAGTAAGCATGGTCATACTCCATTCCTTGTTGCAGTGTACTTCAATCAGTTAGAAGTCATTAAATATCTTATTAGTAAGAAGTGTAATTTATCAGCTGCTTCTAATCTAGGGTATGGAGCAGCTCACATATCAGTAGTGGAAGGCCACTTAAATATATTAAAGTATCTTGTTGATAATAATTATTGTAATCTTAATGCGACCGATCATCATAACCGTACACCACTTCATTTAGCTGTAGGTTTTGATCAATTTCATATGTTAGAATATTTAGTGAGTAAGAGCATACCCTCAATGAGTGTTGTCTGGTTACGTGAGACAAAGTGTTTATTGGACAGTCCTCGTCCACATAATGCAGTACTTATTAATGTACACGATAAATATGGTAATACACCATTACATATAGCCTGCCATCAAGAAAGACAGGCAATGGTATCACTATTATTAAAAGCCAGTTTATCTCTCAATGTTCTATCGATTACTAATAAAGCAGATCAGAACCCATTACACTTAGCAGCTGCCTCTGTTCGTACAGATACAGCTAAGGCTTTACTCTCCTCAATCACTAATAGGTCTACTCTTCATCATCTCTTTTTTAAAGCTACTGATAGTGAAGGATGCACTGCACTTCATACAGCTTGCAGTAATCGTCATATTGATGTGTTTCATTATCTATGCAGTATTTATCCTCAAGGTGTTAATGTAATGGATAATAGAGGACGTGGTTTACTTCATGCAGCATGTGAAGGTGGAGAAATTATGATAGTAAGAACACTAATTGAGACATATGGGCTAGATCCTTTAGCAGAAGATAAAAATGGCATCACCTGCTTACACTTACTAGCAGAAAGAAACTTTAAGAAACTTGGAGAATCAAATGATTCCAAACTGAAAATGTTGCAGAATGTCTTATTAGAACAAATGATTGGTGTATACCGATATTTAGAACCAAATATTAAATCTAATCCAGTGCCTAAAGACAAGTCTGGCCGTACTCCTCTTCATTATGCTTCTCGTTCTGATAATATTCGTATGGTACGTTATCTCATAGAGACCTTTCCCTGTACTCCTGATGATCCTGATAATAATGGATACACTTCAGTTCATGGAGCATGTGAAGCTGGTAGTATGAAGTTAGTACAATACTTTCTAACTGATCTCAAATGTAATGCACTAGCTGAAACTGATGATTGTAAAACCATGCTTTATTTTGCTAGTAAGGGTTCTAATTTAGAACTGGTTCGGTTTTTAGTTGATGTGTTTAGTTTAAAACCTTGTCCACATGATATTGAAATAGCTCAATCAGTTAATCCTGATTCATCAGTAGTTAAATATCTTCAAAAAATTTATGATGATATGATATTTGATATGATGGAGGAAGATAAGAGAATGAAGGAAAGTATTGAGAAACATGAACAACAACAAATTCATCCACAGGGGCATGATATTGTATCTTAAACACGACCTTATCACCATCTTACCATTACATCTCATCACCATTACACCATCTTACATATTACCATTTAATACTATTATGCATCACCTTACCACTATTACACCTTTGTCTCCACTGTATTGCTTTCTTAACATTACACTATACATAAAAATGAGTAGATGAATGCTGGTGACCCAATGACTTTAGGCTGGGCAGCAAGAATGGTTACCAAATACCAACATCCCCAAGTGCAAATGCTTCTTTAATATTTTTCTTTATTACTGTTATTATACCCATCACCATTATTATTGACACATGTTATCACTGGAGCTGCTCTTCCATAATTCTTCAACTCATCCTATGATAGTCACATGCATTTTAAATTTTGCTTCCAGTATCAGGAGGAGAGGAAAGAGAGGAGAAAATGAGCTTACAACTGGCAAGATCAATCTTTGGTAAATTAATACTAAATGTACATGTATTATTTTACTCACTGCCTTTTACTCATTCTCTCCTCTGTATTCTGTACTCTCCTTTCTTTTACACTTCTCTCTCTTCTTATTTTAGGTTCTTTGCCTCCTCGTAGGAATCCTTATGCTTCACATGCTAATGCTATACTTATGCCAGTTTTTGAATTGCTACAAATGATATTGACTGATGTAAGTACCTAAATATTACAAATATTTGATGCCTTGCCTGATACTCTGTTACACTGTAATGACTGTATATACATGTACCCATAATAAATAAATTGGATTTGGGTCTCCTCAAGTTGGCCATAAACAATAGATAATATTTTACATGTGTTTATGTTCTGTAGCAAGTTTGAACTGATTTCAATCAAAATTGGATGTTTATGAATTTTCAAAGCTACTCAAAAATCGATTTGCCAAATATGACTAGAAAAAAAATTTTATTTTTATAATTTTTAGTTTGAACTATTTCCAATCAAAATTTGATTTTTTACAGTAACTAGGCCGAAATTCCTGTACTATAACACAGGGTCTTTGGCTAAAAATGACAAGGAGAAAATTTTCCATTTTTATAATTTTATAAATTAGAGGTTATATTATAGCTCATTTTGCAGTCATTTGAATGAAGACCATGAATATTATCTGAATTATTAAATTTTATTATTTTTACAGAATCTAGACAGTGAGGATGAGAAGAGAGAGTCAGAGCTTAGAAAATATTTGAAAGAGACATACTATGATGCTGTTCCTTGACAGAAACAATAATAATAGTTCTATATGTATATTGTGAAATTGTGTGAATGTCCGATCTATGTTTACAATCACTATATTGATGCAATAAGTGTATTTTTGTTGATGTTGTTGTATTAAATTCATTTTATTAAACTTTTTGGAATCTTTGCATAATTAAGTACAGTCAAATCAACATTAGTCTGAAGTGCTTGTGTTAGCTCTTTCGACAGAAGCTCATGCATTGGTACCAAATCATGAGAATAAGTCCACTTATCATCAATGATGTCATATCTCTTTGGACCACTGTAAAAATTGATAAAAAATGCCACAAAAACCTATGAAGCTAATACTCCTGTATGATTGATACCTCGTAGGAGAAGAGAGCCAGATTTGTTTGTTCGGCGTCTGCTTGTTAATGACATATGTCCCTCTACCACCTAACAACAACATAATTATAATTATATATTTTATTATTAAACTCACCTCCTAAATAAAATGTAAGTACACCACTCTACACAAAAAGATAATCATAATAATAATTATTATTATTTTATTACCTCGTATTGTACATCAGATTCATCTCCACTTTCTCCTGAGTCCACGAGATCTTCAAAAACTGATAATAATTCCTGTAACGTTTCATCAGCTATCTTCTCATAAGTCTTCTCGTCCAATTCAATAGGGAAAACCCTGTAATTAATCAAATAATTATTTTTAATCACTTCATGCAATTTTACCTCGTTCCTGTGCATAACCTTACAGTCCAATATCTGTTAGGCAACGACCTATTACTGTAAGTTATCCTGTTGATAATTATATCTTTTTCTGGTAGCTTTCTGAGCAGAGGAAAAGAGCAAGACATAAAATATCTTCTCAAGAGGTGTAATCTGACCACCATTTTAGATCCTGACTGAGGGGTTAAAATAGGCTTAGACTATTAACTAGATCTAGTTAAGTAAAATTGTGCTCCATCCATGAATACACTTGGTATCCATAGAAGCTTTTGTTTTGCACACCCTTTGCTTTATAGCTGACATATACTGTAGCTTAAACCAGTCTCTAAAATTTGTAATACTAAGCAAAGATGGACAAAGAAGAAGATTTGCAGCACATTTATGAAGTGAATGACTTTCAAGAATATGAAAACAACAAAGGCAGCAGCAGACCTCATATGATCATAAGAGAGAATGGAGGAGCTGGTATGGGAAGACTTGCATCAATGGTATTAGGCATTGGAGTTGTTCTCCTATTCATATCTTTGGTGGCCATCATTGCAACAACGGCATCGATACTCACTCATTTGACCACTCTCCCTATATGCGAAAACTCACAAGCAAATACTGATAATATTGTGAATCCGACTGCTAGTACAGGCACTCCTGGCTCTTTTGGTGGCTCTAATGCAGTTAATTGCTCCATTTCTAATGTGCTAGAGGGACAGCAAAACCAACTCGGAATCATACAAAATCAAATTGGTCAGCTACTTAATGCTACACATGAGACAGCCTCAAAAGTGAATGAAATCCGTACTCTTGCAAATGAACAAGCAGCCATTTCTGTAAACAATACATATAATATTGAACAGGTAATGCAGACAACTGGTAACACTGCTCAAAAACTAGTCAATATTGTAAATACATTGACTAATTTGAAAAATACGAGTACATCAACTGCAGGAGTTGTTGATGATATTTTGCTCATTTTAGATGAACTACTTGAGTTGCACTCTGATAACTCTACACTGCCTTATTCATGTGCTGAGATTAAACAGAGACAACCAAACAGCCCCTCTGGTGTCTACTTATTGATTAATCCAAATGGTAATGGTGTCACATATGCATATTGTCACATGGGAGAGCTCTGTGGTTCCGGAGGAGGATGGCAAAGAATAGCATATATAGATATGTCTGATGCTACACAGACCTGTCCCTCTGGGTTTAGACTCTACCAGTCAGGAGGAGTTAGAGCTTGTGGCAGGCCTTCTTCAAGTACTGCAAGCTGTACCTCAGTTCAATTTCCATCTAATGGTTTCTCATATAGTCAAATATGTGGGAGAGTAACAGGATATCAATATGCAACAACAGATGCACTAGCTTCAGCATGGCCAAATCACAATAATCTAAATTCCTATTATGTTGACGGCATTAGCATTACAAGAGGTTCTCCACGCCAACATGTGTGGTCATTTGTCTCTGGATTTTCTGGTAATGTCCTCCTTGCTTCAGACTATACATGTCCCTGTGGCATAGGCAGTACCCAAACAAACTCATCATTTGTGGGTAACAATTATTTCTG